AAAAGAAAGAAAAGAAGAAAAAAAGAAAAAAAAGAAAAAAAAGAAAAAAGATAAAAAAAGAAAAAGAAAGGACAGATAAATAAAAACGAGAGCAAAATAATAAGATTTAAATTCGCGATAGGGAATAGATTTTCTTTTTTTTTTTCTTTTTGGGCACTTATCAAAGTGGTAGATAAATCATTCTTACCAAATGTTGTATCCTCGGTAGCTTTGTAATCGCCTTCTCGATGGACGTTTTAAAATCCCCATTTTCGAGATTAAGAGCGTCCTTCCTATAACTTATCTCGGATGACGTGTCCGATTCTTCAAGCACCTGCATAAGTAAATCATCATCGACGTTAATCGTTGAATGAAAGAAAGAAAAAAAGAAAGAAAGAAAGAAAGAAAGAAAGAAAGAAAGAAGGAAGGAAAGAAAGAAAGAAAGAAAGAAAGAAGAAAGAAAGAAAGAAAGGAAGAAAGAAAGAAAGAAAGGAAGAAAGAAAGAAAGAAAGAAAGAAAGAAAGATCCGATGGTGACGTTACGGCCACGAACAAGATGCAAATATTATGACGAGAGAAGACGTAGAGTTTGACGTAAATTCGAAGTGATAAATAAATCGACTAACAAAGGATGATAATAATAAACATAACATCTTAAGAAGCTGCTGTGATTTAAAGAAAGAAAATAATTCATTTCTTTTCTTTCTTGTTTTTCTTTATTCGCTCGAAGCGATTTGAAATAAGAAAAAAGAAAAAAAAAGAAAAGAAAAAATAAGAAATAAAAAAATATCTTTATCATCAGATTTTTTTATTTATTTTTCTTTTTCTTTTTCTTTTTTTTTTTTCATGGAATCAATCGAAAAAGGTACGCGACTCCGTAAGGGGCATAAATCTCTTGTGACCATAATCGCGGGTCGAGAGATCTTCGATCGTATGTTCGATGATTCATCGAGAATCCTTCGTAAGGCAAGGCAATCGCGTTAGTTCGCGATGACCGCTTTTTTTGTTTTGATTTATTTTTTCTTTTCCTTTTTTTATCTTCTTCATACATTATCGCGACGAAAAGCTGTTAATGATGACAACAATGGAAATCGAAATGACAGAAATTCTTTTTTCTTTTTTTTTTTTTTCCAACGTGATAAGTATTATTATACCACGTTAATTGTATACTACTCGAGTACGACGACTCGGTGAAAAGAGAATCCAAAGAGCTCGGACTACTTTCGCTCGCGTGGAGCAGTTTACTTTCAAATCTACGGCATCCTTCCTCTCTCCGTCTCTTTCTCTCTCCCTCTCTTTCCATCTTATTCCCTCTCTTTTTTACACTCTCTTTCTCTTCGTTTCTCTGGGTCAAGCCTACGCTAACCCAGATATCGAAAAGATGTTGGGTGAAACGGAGCAGACAGCCTTCCCAGGTCAACGACTCACCTTACGATTCCTAATGATCAGTCTTCTAAGAATGAGTCCAACGCCAACGGCAATTGGAAATACGACGAGCGTAGCCAAAATATAACTGACTACTGCTACGGTCTCTTGTGAGGCAATGGCGTCGACATCGTGTCTCTTCGTCACTTCACTAATATTCACAGACTCTCGTGGGCTAACGGCGATCAAACCACTGTCAAAATATGTCCTATTGAATTCGATCGGTTGATAACCTAAACCGGCATAATCCGATATAACGGAGCGATTCGGATAAATCGATCTGTACCTCGTCCTATTAACGAAATTGGAAGCTGTACTAGTAGGTCTGATAGTGGTTCTAGGGGTTGATTTGGTAGTTAATTTAGAGGTGGGTTTGACGGTGGGTTTTCTGGTAGCAGAGGGAGTGGTGTATCGCGAAGCAGGAGCTTCCTGAGGTGACTCCATTCTGTCTTTAGTGACATTACTTTCCTCTAAGGGTAGTTCGACTGTACGAGTAGCAGGACCGAGGGTGCTGCTATCGTTGAATATGTCTGAGGTGTTGTAAAGTTGCATTATAGGAAGTACATCGTCTTCCTGTTTTGTTTTGTCTGAGAAACTGCGTCCTCTGCTTTCGTGAAAATCGTGCATATGCTGTTGAGCAATTCGATTTGGAAACAAATTTATCGAAACGGTGGACGTTTCCAAGTTCGGCAAAGTATTACTCTCCGTGCTCGAAGTATTCTGCGATCTATACATCTTTTGAATCTCGGAAGGATCAAGATCTGCCGCTAAACCGAACGGTCTATCTTGATCCGGTTTTCTGCTCGAAGTTAATCGATTTATAGATTCCGTCGTGCTCGAGCTTAACATACGATTATCGCTCGACATCGTTTCAACGAGTAACTTGGGTGTCACCGGAAATACGGATGCACTAGTCGTAACTTCCGGCGGCATCGTAGTCGTCGTAGTCATTATGGTGGAGTGCTGCTCGTTATTGCTCTCCTTCCGAACCTCGTCTTTGGTATCGGAGCTAGACAGACTATCGATCGAAGCTTCGGTATAATCATCGGTCAAAGAAGAAGATGAAAGAAGATCGACGGTCGTTGTCTCTTCCGGGACTTTCAAATCTGACAAACTTTCATTTGTTGTAAATTTTTCCTCAAAGGTACGATTGACCTTCAAGGAGGCTTCATTTTCAATACGAGATTCATCCTCTCGACGCTCCAGATCAAGGGAATTCTTTCTGTCAGCGTCAACGAGAACGGTATCTCGCGTGCCCGTGGAAGGCATCGCTTCCGGGCTCGCGTCTTTCGGGTTCACCGCACCGCTGTGCAAGACAGCGCTAGCTGATTTACGAAGAAAACTTCGATTATGATAATGATGATAATGCTGTTGATTATGCTGTTGATGATGATGATGAAGATAAGGATCGATTGAACCTTCGTTGATAACGAGGGCTACTCTATCGGACCACTGTTGCTGATGCTGCTGTTGTCTGTTTCGAGTAAGAGCGCTCGCGATTCTCACGGGTGCGCGTTGCGGCGCTGACTGAGCGCCGGTTCGGTGGGCACCGCTCGCGAGGACTTTTCTTCGTCGTTCCCCCACCAAGGAGGGAGTAGCGATCGTACTCGGTCTTCCAACCGCTTCGACGCTCCTGCCAGTACTGAGTCCAGCGGATTGCGAGGGTTCCTCGCTGATGCCGGCAGCACCGGCGGAAGCCTCCGTCGACGGTGACTCTACCCTGCCGTTCGTTATCTCGCTGGAAGCGCTTCTCCGAGAGCCTCCACCTCCTCCTCCTTCTTCTCCTCTTCCTCCACCACTTCCTCCATCAACTCTTCCTGTTCCTCTTACTCCAGTCTCTCCGCTTAGCCCAGGTCCGGTGTAGTTGCGCAACAGTCTCGTCACGTTGGTTATCGTATACGCGTACACGTGTTGCTGATGATGCCGGCGAGTCTCTTGCGTTGTAGTCCTCAACGTCGTCGCCGTCGTCGTCGTCGTCGGCATCAGCGTCGTCGTCGTCGTCGTTGTCGAAAAGTCTTTGACCGACGACTCGATGTTGTAAGGTTCCGTCACGACGATTCTTAATGTCGTCGAACTTGCCGTACTCTCGTCGATGCTATTACTCTCGCGAGACTTCTTATCGTCCTTCGATAAACGGTACTCGGTAACATCATCGTTTTCAACTTTTTCTTCGGTATCTTCCATCTTTTTGCTCCTTCGAAAACTACCTCTTGACACCTTCATCTTCTGAACACCGTTCTCATCCCTCCGCTCCACTGTTTGCTCTTCGAGCTCTGTCGTATTTTCATTCTGTGTCATGTCCTTGCTAGGGATCACGTTCGTGGCAATTGTCGAGTCAGACAATCTCGTTTTCCTGTAATACAAATTCGGCACGTCTCGCAACGTGTTCTTCGTTGTCTTAGATACTTTGTTCTTCTCGATCATGCGTCTTTCCAAAGCAACGTTGGTCTCCTCCTTCGAGATTTCTTCAGGTCGAATCGTCGTTCCCGTTGCCGTTGTCGTTGTCATTGTCGTTGTCGTTGTCGTTGTCGTTGTCGTTGTCGACGTCGTAAGCGGTGACAAGCTGGTTCTCTTGCTAGAATTTCTCCTTCGCAAGGTTGTTGGAGTAACTGAGACAAGTTCGTTCGAATCGTTACCAACTGTCGTTACGTTCTGCAGTTCAGGTTGTAGTTTCTGACCGAAATAAAGGAACTGCGACATGTCCTCCATAGGAATGTTACTTTCGACGGGTCTAAAGTGTTTGTAAAGGGAATCCGGCATTGAAACGATGTTTTTTTTACGAACATTATCAGTCTCCAAGGACTTGGAGACGCTCGTTACTGGCGCCATCGTCATTGTGGACTCTATGTCCTCTCGTTCGCTCATCAATGTCGTTAAGTTCTCTTCCATCGTTACTTTGAACGTTTTCTTGTCAGCATCGTCGGTACCGTTCTTCGCCATAGAAACACTAGCATACACTCCTTCGTTCTTCGTCTCCTGTGCTTCCAGGATATCTGGTGGATCCCTTGGAGTGACGTCGATGAGACGGCCGTTTCGTTGCCTCGACATCCGTCGTCTTCGAGCTGCAAGAATGTTTCGCAGTACCTGTTCCCTCTTAGCTTTCGACGAGAGTACTTCGACGGAGGGTATCTCGGTGCTCGAGGACACTAGACCTTGAAATTTTTCTTCCTTCTCTGTTGTTTCTGCGAACAAATAAATGAAAATTAATAAAACACGGGTTACAGGAGTAAGTAAGTAATTGAAAAAAAGGCGATTGCGTTTACTCGAGTCTAAAGAACGCGAACGTTTATTATCCGCGGAACGCGTTCCTTTCATTTTCCCGTCGTTGTGTGTCTTGAATAATGCAGACCACCCCCCCGTTATCTCTATCGTAATCGAGAATCATCAACTGACCTTGAAATGGAGACGCATGGTATCATCGTTGTTGGACGAAATTCTAGTGGCATTACTACGTTGAGAGATTGTTTCTTTTATTCTTTTTGTGACGGTAAACAAGAAGCACGAGGATAGAGAAAGAGAGAGAGAGAGAGAAAACAAGAATAGAAGGAAAGAAAGAGAAAGAGAAAGACAGAAAAAGGGAATATAGCTAAGAATGCCGTCGTATATGTTGGCGTTGGAAGGAGGCTACGAAGTCGTGGGTTATCGCCACGAACGTGACCGCATAAAGGATCGTAATATTTTATGTGAACACGTGTATGAGGAAGGTCAGTATTGCTCCTGTTCTTGTTTCGCGAGTACGCGAGCGTGCTACGTACCGGACTCAACAATTCAACGAGTCGGCCTACTAAACTATAATGCGAACGCATTATATTTTCAAAGTAACGTTTCTTACTCTCTTTTTTTTTCAAATTAAATTAATGATAAATAAATCTCAATCTTTATCTTGATTACGCGATCTTAATATCGAAATGTTTGGAAAAATATAATGTCATATTTATCAGATACAAATATGTGTAAGCAAAGTGTAAAACACAGTGGAAATTTAAAATAATGTGTTTAGATCTTCGAAAAAAAAAGATAATCTCTCACGGCTCCTCGTTATCTACATTTATTATCTCAAGATTTTATATCGGAGAAACCTTAGCCTTGGCGATACTCTTGATATCGCAAAACGATCTACTACGACGATTCAATATTATTATCCATTTTATTCGAATAAAGCATCATAAAACGATTTACACTTCTGACCGAAAAACGAGACAAAAAGATTCTTCTTTAAATAGTAAATTATGTAATCGTTTGATTAAAGTTTGCTGCCGTTTCGTTGATTTTATGGAGTTAAGTTAAAAGAAAAAAAGAAAAAAACAAGATAGAGAGAGAGAAAGAAAGAGAAAGAGAGAGAGAGAGACAGAAAATGTTTAATCAATTCCGACAAAATAATCATTATTGACCGATAGAAAACATAAAGTAAAGAATGACAATGGCTTTAAGTAAGATCAAGAACATCGACAATTACGGTAGTTTAGCATTATCAACGATCATAAGAAGAGTACCACTTTGAACATCAACGATTAATCATTAAATATTTACATAAAAATTTGCTCTATCATCGTTTCTTCTCTAAACTTAATATAGCCGTTGGCTATACACACGACAAGATCAAGCTTCGCTTTTCTTCTTCCTCTTATATCCAGAAGTGTATTTTGTACCTTTATCTTCTCTCTCTCTCTCTTTTTCTTTCTCTCTCTCTCTCTCTCTTTTTCTTTCTCTATTTCTCTCTCTCTATTTCTCGTACATCGAGGTCTGTCTCACTCTTGTGACCGTCTTTTGCGAAGCGTAAATCCGCTTCCGCTGGTGGACCTGGCTCGCAACTACATAGAACATTTATTATATTTCAAACTTGTACAAGTTTCATGATCAATGACAATCATCTTTTACGTTTTTGTTTTTTAATCTTTTGCTCCATGATGTCATCGTTCACGTAACACTTCATTTACTTATCGAAATAAATCCCCTTAGAATCGTTAGATTTATTGTAAATAAAGAAACTATTGTTAACGTTTGCATAGGCGTACGTACGCGATACGTAAAAGTGTGAAATAAAATCGTAGGAATGGTGAAAAAAATTATCTTTAATCATATTTGCCTCTCAGAATATATTAAGGAAATAATACGAAAATTTTTATTTTTTTATTTTTTTATTTTTTTTGTATTATTTCATTATGAAACTATCTTTAATGTAAGTTAAAACAATGTTACAAATATTTTTAATTAATTTGATATTCTTTTTATTGGAAACAAATATCGTTTATATAATATCGTTTCATAATATCGTTTCATATAACCCGTTCCAATAAAAATATGATATTTTGTAATTAAAAAAACAATAAACCTGTTATAGAACATCATCTTTAAAAGATGTTAAGTCACGCTCGACGTAAGAATTTAAAAGGTTATTTTGATAGGATAGAAAATTCTAAAACGATCTTCTAACGTTTAGTATTATTAAGAATCGTACGATACTTAATCTGATAATCATGATAATCTTAAAAATATGTATCTAGCCAAAAATTCAATTAAATTATAACGAAATGGCAATTGGTTTTTTTTTTTTTTTTTTTTTTTGAAAAATCAGTAATTTTTGTAATGTAATTTATTAACGTTAATTTAACGAAATTTTAGTTGTCAATTGCATTTTTATTTGTCCATCCCTGTCCGCTGCAGAACCATTATTAGTAATTTATGTGTAAATATATAAATTTTACATGGAATATGATTTATTCATTAAATTAGATTCAGATCCGAAACTCTCAGATATAATTATTAATTATATTAAACAATTTAAGTCCCGACCTAATTGTTACAGAATTTAAATGTTACAGAAATGAATAATATAAGTATATTAAAATCGCCATGAAAGATCTTCTGCGACAATGATTGCTATCTAATGGATTATTTTCTTTCTTTTTTTGTTTTTCCAATTATTTAGTTTCTTTCTCAAAATATTTTAAAATATTTTAATTCTAATCTATCTTTTATTCATAAATATACTCATTCTAAAATATCCTTTAGTTTTAAATAAAATATTGATTTAAATAACAGAAGATTTAACAGAAGATTTGAATAACAGAATAATTTCTTTTGTTCGCACGACGAATTAACATCTCAAGATTCTTACGAAACGAAAGATCGTGAACTATGTTTGTAATTGAACAACAGGCAACAATAATTTGAAACGATAATCGATAAATAGGAACAGTTTAATTTCGATCCATCGGATGATCGTATCTTCTTTAGTCACGATCGCGATCATTCGAGAGGCTTCCTTTTCTAAACTACTATATCTTATGAGGATCCTTTGAAAATACCGACGAGCAATTAATGACGTAAATCGGATAATCCATCGAAGGCCGACGACCGAGTAGGATCAACAATTTATACCGATTGATCGATCGGAAAAAAGCCCCAAAAAAATGGTTGGTTCCTTCGATGTTTATCTTCTCAAAAGAGAATTAAGGGTCACGGTCTCTCTCCCCACCTCTCTTTTTCTCCTTCTCTTTCTCTCTCTTTTTGTTTTCTCCCTTTCTCTCTCTTTCTATTCGTTTCATAACTCATTTTGCGAACGGAGTTACGAAAGGAACATGGCTCGAATACACGCGATTAATCCTGGTAGCGATGGCAACTAACGCGCGTGATTACGTGTCAAAGATCGGATCGCACCGTCGAGCGTTGCATAATGGCCACGCGATCTTCCTCCTTAGAATAAGGTACATATTATATACAAAAGTGAATCTGAGGAATCGAACGATAATGATAAACATTATCGAAAAGTGACACGCAAGACAACTTTTTTCTATATTAACGTTCAATTATTACCAATATAAAAAATATTTCCTTTAAATAATTCGTATAAGATGTTATCCTTGTAGATTGAAAATGATAATATTGAATGTAAATAAACGAAAAAGAACAAAAATAAGAACAAAAAAAATTTGTTCATTAAAAATCTCGTTTCTCTTTACATTCAACCGTTATTGCTGTAAAAATAAAAGAATAAAAGAAAAGAAAAGAAAAGTGAAAAGAAAAGAAATTGATAATATCGATAAATACATTTTCTTTGAACATACGATAAACGTGATACTTATACAAGATATATATATATATATATATGTATGTGTGTTTATTTATGTTTTGACGAAGTTAGCAGAAGTATTATGCGGCAAAGGTGGCATCATCTTGCACAACAGTTATATAAGAGTTCCAAGAACGTACAATGGGTTCTCGATGTTGCATTAAATCGTATGCAGGTCCAGGTAGAACAATGGAACGCGAAGGATCGAATCGGCGTTCGCGAAAATTCATCGGACACCTTCCGGAACGCTTCCTAGATTACGTAAATGATCGTAACGAGAATCTAAAGAGATCTCGGAATATCTTACGTATTAACGAATAAAAACAAAAAAAAAAAAGAAAAAAGAAAAAAAATATACAACAGCATTAGACAGATTGTTATTATAGGAGTCTATATCTACGAAGTTCAAAGTTCCTTAGTCTTCAACGAAGCCTCGACTAAGAACGCACGTTTCTCGCGATCACGATCAAGATCATTGACTTCTCACGAATGTAAAGCGATCCCTCGAATGCCTCCGTATTGTTGCTAGGATCCTTCGTCCGGATATCACGTAGACTCGGAGAAAGGACAGGATTATCATAGTCGTGCATCTGCAGGACGTCACGTTCTGCCACGTCGAAGTCTTTTGTGACAAAAAAATTCTTTTTTTTCTTTTTTCTTTTTTCTTGTTTTTCTTTTTCTCTTGTATTCAACATACGTATTTACATACTCAAACTACGATCGAGAAGGTGTCCTCGTATTAACTTGAAAAAGAGAAAAAGAGAGAGAGAGAAAGAGAGAGAGAGAATATTTTACAAATCCTCCATCTAAATAGAATTCAAGGACGAACATCGACAACTTTTACATTTTTCTAAAGATTGTAAAAATTATCATTTCTAGCACGCACACGATGCCTTCGATTTGACCGAATTCCTCTCGTGCGATCTTGATAAGTACCAAGCATGAAATTGTTACGCTCTACTACGAACATGAAAGTTCATCGACTGCTCCTAGAACCCATTATCGACGTATCTTAAGAGTCATCGATATATTCTGATCATTTTCCTTTTACTTTTTCTCTTTTTATATCTCTTTCGTTCTCACGACAAGTAATACAAATTCGGATTGCTATGAATCCCGGAAGAAAATTTCTATATGAAATAACTTCTTTTGTAAAGAAATAAATAAATAATTAATAAGGAAATATCAAATTCGTAAAAGCTTATACATATTTATATACCTACCCGTTATTTCGTAATACAAAATTGTTATTCTCCATTCATTATTCGTGAAATCGTTCAAGTTTATCGGTCGGCACGGTTAATTATATTCGATTATAGGTATAACCGGTGAAGCTTGTACACCGGTTTGAGCGCGCATGGCATCGAGATAGTATTCGATATCAACCAAGAGAAAGGAAAGGATGACTTTCCGGCGGAGACCTGGCCGTTGGATTACGCTGAAACGCACGTTCAAGGCTATCCTCAAGATCACGGTCACGTCGCCGATACTCTGGACGATCGCCATCAGTCATCGAACGATTCTCAAGAACACCTATCTACCTATCTATTTACTAGGTAGATATATAACAATACAAAAATATATATCTGTATATGTATATGTGTATGTATGTGTATGCATATATATATATATATGTACGTTTATATATATATATATACATCGTACTCGTACCGATATTATAAGAAATAACTATGATATATGATTCACGATTTCTTCTTTCGAACGAACAACTTTCTTCCTTCGTTGTTAACTACGTATAACTTATAAAAAGAAAGAAAAGAAGGAGGAAAACAAAAAGAATTATCATCATACCTAATGATTACCTAACCTTCGTATAAGATTCCATATAAATATTATCGATCTTTCCTAACGACAGTAATATATGTTTCGAAAGAAACGATAAAACTATATTAATAACGATCGTAACAGTACAACGATCATCATCGTATTCCTCTGTTGGCTAGATTCGAGACCGGTTTTTGAGGAAGCGACTAAAGTGGCACGGACCGGTAAAGTTCATTGCCATTTCGAGCACCATTTATTCCCACTTTTAGCACCTAACGTATGGGTGTATAAGTAAATACATAAGTATCCACATTGTATATATATATATTTGCATGTGTATGTGTGTTTTTATATACGTAAACGGTACACGCAATTTCAGTCTTTGAAAGAATAATTGAGACTGTCCGGAATTGTTACGAGAATTCCTACAAAGAAATTACCGCTACGATCAGTTGATCAGTATCGACATATCAAAGAATAAAGAAGAAATACTATTAATCATTCTTTGATAACTTTTGAACTTCATTTAGATGAAGTAATAATAACAATTCATAACGAACTATTATAATATTTTTTACGAAATATTTACGATCTTTTCTATAAGATAATTGATAATAAAAATTTAAGGACAAAGGTAAAGGAATAAGAAGTACCAAAAAAGATAGAAAGACAAAGAGATATATAGAGATAGAAAGAGAGAGAGAGAGAGAGAGACAGAGAAAAAGAGAAAAAGAGAGAGAGAGAGAGAGAGACAGAGAAAAAGAGAAAAAGAGAGAGAGAGAGAGAGAGAGAGAAAGGAGAGATATTATCGAAGATCTTGTCGTGAAGATAGTAAAGAGAAAGAAAGAGAAAAAGAGAGAGAGAGAGACAGAGAGAGAGAAAGATAGAAAGAGAGAGAGAGAGTCCTCGGCCATTGCTCGATCGCGAACACATCGTCGGATGTACGTACGCTGATAATTTACACGCGATCGTCTTCCGGCACGTTATGCCGTGGCTAATGAGACCACGTGTCCTCTAGCGGCACGTTACATAAAGGCGTGGATGCGCCTCGAGAACGAAAGAGAGAAAGAACGAAAGAGAGAAAGAACGAAAGAGAGAAAGAAAGAAAGAAAGAAAGAAAAAAGGAAAGAAAGAAAAAGAGAAAGAGAGAAAGAGAGAGCCATATCGTGCCGTAGGCTTGAGTCCCTTCATCTTCGAGTCACGCTTCTAACAATGGGAAGAAGAAGACCGTTTATCAGGGCCAATGCATTTGAGCTCCACCCCGTAAACTCGGTCGTCGTACTTACTTTATATTTATCTATGTATACGAATCTGACGTGAAAAATGCTTTGCAATTCTTTTTTTTTTTTTTTTCGTTTCAATGATTCGTATGTGATCTTTCTTCACGTCATCTTTGGAATATATGTAATCAGATACCGACGATGCATGTAGGTCAGTATGTTAACCTTTTTCAAAGGAAAAAAACCACAAAATCTCTTGTTTACGAAACGAGTTTTGAAAAAAAAAAAAAGGAAAAGGAAGAAGTAAATTCATGAGAAATTTCTTTTCTCCCTCTCTTACCTCCCACCCTCCTCATCCTCCTCTTCCTATCCAATCCTCTTGAAATTTATGGATTTTCCTTGGTTATTTTTGAGTGAGATGATAATGAAAGAAAAGAAAAAAAGAACGCGTAGGAGTGAATAATCTCTGATCGATCCAAAAGAAAGAAAGAAAAAAAGATAAAAAGGAAAATTTCTTTTTTGTTCTTTTCGCTTCTCGCGCTTCCCCTTTCCGCGAGAGATGCGAGACAAAGCCTGTAAGGATAGTTGGATAAGTATCGTTACATGTGCCAAGGCACCGGGGATGGTCATAATGTAAGCATCGAAGGAACAACGACGACGAGAGAGAAAGAAAGAAAAAGAGAAAGATAGAGAAAGAGTGAGAGAGAAAGAGAAATAAAGAGAAAGAGAGAGAGAGAGAGAGAGAGCCCTGAACCGTCCATTGTATTCCGTAAGCGGAGTCGCAGGTTCAGGCAGCCTTGAAGTACCGAACCTCCCAGCGCGACAAGATGATGCATCGTTACAATGCGCCGCGCTATACTTGCCCTTTAGGGTCACGCAGAAAATCGAAGGGCTAGTCTGGTATATATCGAAGGGAACTGATCTACGTATCCAACCCTTTCTCCGATCTCTCTCTGATCTCGCTTCGTGCATTCTCTTGAAAATATGTAGGTCTGATATATAGGTATATATAATTTTCGCTGATTTTTATTTTGTTTTTATTTTCTACCTTCGTCGAAAGGTTGAAGAGAAAGGGGGAAAAAAGAAAAAATTTATGAAACGCGAATGATCCCTTTCGGACGTTCCTTTCTCAATGTCAAGGATTTGTTTAGGAGAACGTGCTCGTAATGTTTTCGACGGTCTCGGATTCCTTTAAAAGGGTCGATCGTAATCGTTCCCCTTTCAAGGATAAACCTAAACTCCAGACGATCGTCGAGCCGCCAAAAACTGGATTCTGGTCGAGATATCCAAATAGAAATAAAAGGAACGTCGAGACGTCTCGGACGTAACATTTCCTAAAGTTACCTGGACGATGATATAATTCCGAGGATCTCAGAACATGTTCGTAGGAAACTTCTTTTATCCTTAGAGGAACCAGATCTTTCGCCGAGACGAATCAACCGTTATGGCATTTTTTTCCTCTCTTATGCGATACTCGCTCTAAAACTTTGTAGACGTATAAATAAAAATAAACGTTCAAGAATGATAATAAGTTTGGATAAATAATATGAATAACTAATTTCTGGTTACATAAATAATAAATGATCTTTCTTAACGATTATTATCTGGACATTTCAAGAAGCAAAATACGTTGCGACTACGAGAAATGCAACGTTTACAAAATCTCTATTATACCGAACTATAGTGTTCTTTTTTCCTGTTTATTTTTATTTTTTTTTTAACTTCTCTTCAAAAGTCATATCATTTCCATCCAGGAACACACACGCAATAAGCACGTAGATACGTATGGGGAACCGACTCGAGTTCTTCTCACGACCTTAATGATCTCATGAGAGAAGCTGTCGGAACGTCTTCGTGCGAGCCTTGAACCTTCTTCTAATCATGGGATTAACGAAGGAAGAAAAAAAAAGATCTATCAAAATGCTCATGATTTAGATGAAAAAAATTAAAAAAAAATTTCTTATCTACATATATATATATTTTTTTTTTCCGAATACATAAAATATTGTGTTCAAGACGTTAGACGATTCGAAAGAAAAAAAATGGCAGATATCTCTTCTTTCATCAATATCAAAGATTTACGTTCGATACCGATCGGGGGGGACTGGCTCGAGAAAACAATGCAACCTTTTATAAAAAATACAAAGAGAGAGATAAAGAGAGAGAGAGTGAGAGAGAGAGAGAGAGCGAGAGAGAGTGAAAGATAGAGAGAAGGTACGTCACGAACGGCCGGTGCTCGCATTGGTTACCAAGTCGCAAAAGGAGTACATGAATCACGTTATACGAAGGCAAGTTCACGAATGGCGGAAGAGGATTCATCGATCGTGTCGCGGGCACGAGAGTACCTCGCGACATTCTATATCCGCTTGCCCTACGAGGGTCTCGCTAGGAAGCGCAATAATGGATATCGATGATGTCGTAGGAGACATCGGCATGTCCGCACGCATTCCGGCAGCAAGTTATAAATCACTGATTCGTATCTCGGTAAAGGCTCCTTAACCAAACGGATGCTACTGTCGATTTGAATTACGGCCTTTACCCTTTTACCAAGAGTGTGCCCAAGAGAAACTCTCATAGCCCGGGACACAAGGAGACTCTAAAACTTACCCGTAAACCTTAAACCGCCCACGGTTTGAATTCTCCGGCGTGACTTTACCTTAAATCCTTATTTACCGTCCATAGGTAATAATTCTTTTCTTTGTTGAAAAGGGGCATATCATTTTACGATTATTTTTTATAAATGTTAAATAAAAGGAAGAATATATCGATCGATCAAAATGAGGAAAGAAAAAGAAAATAATAAAAGGAGATAAGTTGAAGGGAAAAGAAAGAAAAAAGAGAAAGAGAGAGAGAGAGAGAGAGAGAGAGAAAGAGTCGGACACCTATTGTCTTTTGTATACGCTCGGATTCCTAGGCAGGTGATGCCATAAATTTAACTAGCTAGAATCTCTGGATAGCTCGAAGCTCGAAGCTCGAAGTGAACTTCGAGTCGGTCTGAAAATATCACGGCGCCGCGAATCTTCCGCTCGAGTTCTCTTGTGGGAATGCCATTGTTTCGCTTTCGCATAAGGGAGATAAGAAAATATCCCTATGGATTTATTTACCGTCAATATAACGCAACACCTTCGATAACATATTATTTTTCTGATGATTTTCATAGGTTAGGTTCTTAAAAACAAAAAAAAAAGAAAAAAAGAAGAAGGAGAAGAAGAAAAAACAAAATAAAAAAGGAAAGAAAAATTTCTTAAATATAAAAAAAAAAAAATGGCAACATTAATTTTTAATAAAAAAAAAAAAACAGGAAGAAAAAAAAATAAAGGAGATGTTTAAGAAAATAAAAACGATATTACATAAAGAGATCTAAATGATTCATAACCCATAATAGCTTTCATTGAAGATTTACAATCGACTTGTAAGAATGATAAAGTCTTGTTCTACGTCTCCACGCTCCAGTGCTAGCATATTCTCGTCGTCAGTCGACGTTAGCCTTGCCTAAAGCAAAGTTCCACAAGACCCTTCCTTCTTTTCTTACGACCATCCGACAGGAGGAACGCACCAACCGCCCGCCCGTCCGTTCGGAGCTCGTACACGCGAGCGAGCCGACCGAGTTGTGTGCTGACTCTGGAAGGATGCGGCCATTTTGTTATATAACGTTGCACGCGAGGAGTCTCCTCTTAAGCGGAAAAAATGTCCAGACAATGCCGCATGCACGTTGCGGCTTCGATACCTAAGGATCGCCTAGAATCCAACGACCCCGAAGATCTTCTCCTTTGTCTGTCTTCCTCTCTTTCTCTTTCTCTCTCTCTCTCTTTCTTCAGTTCTCTTACTTTAGAAAGAATACCACAAAAATCAACATCCAACTGTCTTGAAAGATATTTATGAAAAAAATATAAATGTTCATGTAATTAACGATTGATCGACTATACATTATTCAGGTATTGAAAGGTATGGTTTATGGTTGATTAAAAAAAAAAAAAAGAAAAAAGAATTATTGGCTCTCATGTATTTATGTTAGATCAGAGAAAGAGAGAGAAAGAGAGAGAAAGAGAGAGAGAGAGAAAGAGAGAGATAAGTCAAAGGGTAGAAGATATGGTTGAAAGTAAGAAGAAGAGAAGAGGTAAAGAACGATCGTAGGGAAGCGTAAATCGCCCAAAGGCTAACACGACCATCTGTTCGTCTTGGTATCTGCGCAAACCATTGTCAAAGATTTTTTCCCTTCAACGATAGCTATTTACCAAGGAACCTATAAGGGTTTACAACGACTGACGGTAGCCACGCGTGTTTCGTCCGTAGGCACCGCATTCCCATCTGATCTTTTTGCGAATCTTTTCGAGTTTCACAGAAAACAATACGAA